AAGAGCTGTCACTCAGTTACTTTAAAGCATGCCAAATGAAGTTATCATTCTAAATTACTCCAGTGTCCTCGAAAGTTATTGCTTGGTAACCCACAGGCACAAAGCCTTCATCTGGAGTAGACCCAACGTGCAGGCTGTGTTTGACCCCACAAGTGACCAGCTGTCTGCTAAGATTGGTCACCACAGCCACCCACCATACAGTTTGACTTCCTAAGAGAGGGGTGGCCTCTCTTCACCCACAAAGACAGTTATGACTTAAAAAAAAAAAACATCTGCACACAGCTTGATTCTCTGAAACATCGAGGAAGGAAGCCCACCACCTCCACACGACTGAAGGAGAAAACCCAAGCAGCCTTCAGACTCTGCACAGAGCAGGACCCTGCCTTTTTCCCCCTCATGTTGACACTAATTGGTTTGTGCTTGGAAATACCCAAGACATTTGGAAACTCAAGCAATGGAATTAAGATTTGAACTTAGACCCAAGAGCTGAAACATTGGTTACTCAGCATTTTAAACTGTATTAAATTGTATGGCTCTGGGAGGGTGGTGGGAATCAATGTACTTCTCACTGTAGTGAGAAATAAATGGTCTGAGTATACAGGTGCAGCCTAGAGATTCCCAGGGCTCCCGCCCACCCAGGTCGTTCATGTGGATGGAGGGATAATAGGAAGAACTTCCAGAAAGAATATCTGAAACACTTGTGTACTTGCTTATTTTAAAACCAAGAAGAGAGCCTCTGTCCCTTAAGAGACTGTCAGTCACACGGTTGCCACTGTAGGCCTGTCCCCGCATCACACTGGTCGCTTTATCATCCATCTGCCCTTCTGGCCAACGGGAAAGAAGTACCTTGCTGCTTTGGAAGTATCCATTTTGCAATAATAATAATAATAATAATAATAATAATAATAATAACAGGTCCCCTACTAAGGCCTATAATGTCCCTAACCATGAGTTCTTGGTCAAGTTTACAGTATCAGGCATGGGACCCCTCTTCTTGATCAGGCCTCAAATCCAATCAGAAATCAGTTGGCTACTCCCACTATGTAATTATATTATACACATATATAATATATGATGCCATATGATATAAACATAATAAAACATGAATTGTCCTGCCGTTGTTATATCCATTTGGACATCTTGACTGACAGGTCATTAGGAGAGGTTGAAAAGTTGACAGCTGGGAAAAACTGCTAATGGCTTCTCTGCCCCATCCTTCTCCCTACCCAAGTCTTCAACCAGGAAGCCTCCCTTCCAGAGTCCACTTCCTTCCACCCTGCAGGACTCGGGACTGAGATATCTGAGTCCCTGAGGCCCGTGTCCCCTGCAGACCTGGTCATGGGAGGATTATCCTCTTTTCTAAAGCCCTATCATTTGCGGTCAGTGGACGACGACACAACACGTACCCATTCAGCAAGTGGGAATGTTCACCCCCTGCTCACCGTAGCCCCCTCGCCCCGCCCACTCAGAGGGCGGGGCTCTGCTCGGCCATTGATGTGAGATGGCTGAACTATACCTGAGCTCAGCCCTCACAGGTACACGTCATCCTGGACTATCCTCCGTGTCCTTTATCTCCTGATCCCATCTGGCCTGCTCTTCTATCTCAGAGATCCTTGGACTACTTCATCTTGCCCCCGCCTCCATCCCATCCTGTTTCAGGTCTATAAAGACCTCATTTATGTCAGTCAAGACCACCTCAGGCAAAGAACAGAGTATCCACAAAGGCCCCCCCAGCCCCCATTTCCCGACCTCCTGGCTTAAGAGCGCTGGTTACACCCACATGTTCCTCCTGAATTATGAAGTTTCCTGTCTTTGTTTTTAAGCGCTTGGGTCCTTTGGGCGTGATCAGCAATGCTCTACATCGGGCACCCTGATTTAAAGTGTTTGCCTGACAGTCCTGCTTCTCTCGGCCTCCCTTGAGGCAAGCCCTACTCCCTTGGCCCACAGCCAGGCAAACTCCGAGCAGAGACAGACCCTGAGTGACTTGCCTAGCCACACGGTGACACAAAGCCCAAGGACCCATCGTCAGCCTCCAGACTAGCTGCTGGCCCTCCGGGAGCAAGGGCGACACTCGGGAGAGAACGGTGTGTGACCGACGTTCTGACGTCACCGCCTGAGACGGGTCTGGGCCTCAAACCCCTTCTTAGCCGTGCTGGCAACCTCCAGCAAGTTCTCCTTGAAGAGGGAAAATGGAAAACATCATTAGACCATGCTGTGGGTGTTCTGTGTAGAGATGGTGAAATTCCACACTATAAATTTCGGGGTGGGGGGGTGGAATACATTTTCTAAGGAAAAAAATAAATTTCAGCCGAGGATAATGAACAGACACTGTGATGACGTTTGGCCGCTCCTGCTGTCGTGACTTAATGGCTGTTCGTGTGTTCATGTGCATTGTCCTCTTGACCTTGGAACATCTGCTCTCCAGGCACATGGACAAAGGCGTCTGTCTTTTAAATGCATTTTCTAGTTTTCCTTTTATACCAACACCTGTGTATGGGCTTCCAGCATTTCCTTACACCGTGTCCCCAGTGCCGCATCTAGCACTGTTCTCTCCTTCCAGACACAACTCCATAACAGAAGGTCATGGCCTGTAGGGCACTCCCATATGTCCCTCACTGAAGGAGACATCCCGGGAAGTCGAGGTCAGCTGAAGCTTCAATTCAGTGGGCCCACTGCCAAGCTTCCTCTCCCTGTGCACAATGATGGGCTGGTAAAGCTCACTCACCAGACCCACCCAGCCTGGACAAGCCTTTCTGTGCTTTCGAGGGGGCACAGGTATATCACCACCTCTCAAACATCACTCCTGTCACCAGCAGAAATAAACCCCGCAAGCAGGGTCTTTATATAAAGTGTAATTAAATGCCCCAAGCAGAGATAAATGCCTAGAAAAGAAATGAAACTTTATGACCGAGGAAAGACATAGTGGCATAACCAGAGCTCTTCAGATATAGAGAGGAAGGCTGTAAGAAGGCCGGCAGGGGGCCTTTGAGGTGTGGTCTGTCCTTTGCCTACCGAGTCCTTGACTGGCATTTGTGGGAACATAAATAAGACAGTTGTTACAGACCTGAAACAGGAAAATGCATATCTGAAACAACCAGAACAGACAAGGTCGGAAGTTCTCAGCACGAACCAATGCTAATTACCCTAACACAATCATGACACATTGTATGCCAGGACGGTATTACCACACCGTACCCCATGCACAAGTACAATAGTACTGCATGACAATTAAAAGTTAAACATATCTGTGAACTCCAGCTGCATTGACTGATGAGGACCAACGGGCAGAGTGTTCAAAGATGGTCTCTGACCTTGCGAAGGTGATTTTCTGTCCAAGGTCAAGGACAGATGAACTTCTTAGTGGTGCCATGCAGAAAGGGAACCAGTAAAACGCGAGCTGCTAGGAACCCGAGATTGAAGCGCTGGGTCTGAGAGAGGAACCTGAGAAACATCCCCACAGCGAGGTGCAACTACAGCCCTGGGAAGAGACGATTGTGGATGATCAGAAGAACACGAAGGTGGGGTTTGCAATTCGTCTTTAAGGGGCTGATGCAGATTCACTTGGAAGTCAGAGAGAGGGGAGCAGCTGGAAAAGCCACTGCTCACCACACTACGGCTGCTTCCCCAGGGATGAAGTCAGCATGCCCACGTGAGCCAGCCTGACCGAAGCAGAGACAATGGAATGTCTCCCACCTCAAAGGCAGTCAGCCTAAATTAATTTTGATATATTGGCACATCTCTTATGATCTACTAAAAAATTAAATTTTTCATTCATCTATTGTATTCAACAATCGCAAGTCGCAAGCCTGGATTATTAATGATGTCAGGTCTTGTATTACTAAAACAAATGCATAGGGGTTCCATTTCTGATGACAAAGGAAGAGCCATTTGTTTCCATCATGGAGGACAATCTTATTAAACATTGCCAACTCACTGCCAAGCTGGCTGGTCACCAACGTGCAGCTACGGAACAAATGGAATCAGAGGACTGTCAATCTTCAGATAGTGTCACTGTCCCCAAAATAATAAACTTACAGGAGATAAATCTATTATGACTGGAGCACTCTCGCTTCTTAACTCTGGACTCCTCAAACGCAGAATTTCCATAATCCTCTCCTGTAGGAACAAGGCTGGTTGGAAAGGCTAGCAATGGAGGGGTAACATGACCTTACCAGCGTACACATTCATGAAAACTGACCTAAGCCTTCTGGACAGCCATTTAGTGAAATAAGCAAAAAGACCCAGGTTGTAGAGCAAATCTATGAAGTCTTTGTAGATCTGTCTATTTAGTGGGGAAGGGGATTTTTTTCATACATGTGTACAATGTATCTTGATCATATTCATCTCCCTATCCCCTCCTTCCAGTTCCCTCCCCACACCTCCCCCACAACAACATCCCCTATCTCCCTCCCAGCTTCATGTCTTTCAATAACTTACTGGGTCCTGTTAATGTTGCCCATGTGCATTTGTGTATGTGGGAGGGGTCATCCTCGGAGGCGTGGGTGACATACCAGTGGCCACCTCCTCAAAGCAAAGTGACTCTCCCTCCCTTGGTGACCACCAACTCTCATTAGTGCCACTGCTACAGGTGAGGCACTTGGAGCTTGTCTCTGCACAGTGCTGGAATTTTTAACTCTTATGATCTCGTAGGTATCTTGTGCAGGTAACTACAGCTGCTGTGAATTCGTTACATCTGTTTATAACATCAATGCCTTGTCTAAGATCTCTCAGTACCCCCTGCCCCAAGCCTCCAAAAAGTCAACTAACTCTCCCGAGTGGTCATTTGGGTAATGCCAACTGAAGGAAGAGGCAGGATTGCACATCCAAGGCGAGCCTGGGCTGCAAAGCGAAATCCTGCCAGAACAACCATCAGTTACCAGACAGCCCCCATTCTGACAGCTCAGAAATCAAACATAATTTATTGCTCTCAGTGAATCCCGTGGTACCAAAATAACTAAGACACACATGCTTTGAGCCCATTAAGAAAAGTTGAAACTGAGTCCCGTATAAAGAAAGACACTTTATTTGTGAGTTTGATCAACCTTTAAAAACGTGTTCTAATTGCTTGGTAAATTCTGAAATGGCTTCAAGATGTAGTAAGTTCACAACATGATCCAACAAGGCTTCTCTTTGTTCTGCTGATGAAAAGATGAATCACAAACCGAGGTTTTGGGGTTTTAGACATGTACAATATTGCTGGTTAATTACAGAGAGCTGACCCACCCTCCTGTGTACGTAACACCGAGGTCAGAACTGTAGTCAGGCCAGCTAACAACTTCTCTAAACCCCTCCGAACATCTGTCAGACACACCTGGAGAAGTCTCACACCTTGGACACTGAACCTCGTACCCCTGGCTTAACAGAGCCTGCTTTATGCAATCTTTGCGATATTCTGCAATTTACAGAAAAGGGGAGTGTGGTTTTCCCACTCTAAGTCTGCCCGGCTGTGGCATGTTGCTGGTGTCCCTGGTACGTTGGACCAAATGATTGGCCATTTGTTGTGATGCTGGAGACCAGTTTTGGGGCCCCACTTTTCAAGATAAGCAAGCATTCTGCCACTGGATGACATCACAGTTTTAGGCCCACCACTTGTTATGCAGTTCAGGCTGAACTTGAATGTGTCCTCTTCCTGCGGTGGCCTCCGTGATTGACCCTTTCTGTATCTTTTTTATTTTCTACAAAGAAGTGGGGAGCATCATAGTATGGATGGGTTAGTGCATGTATTAAATTGAACGGTCTACCAATTGCTAGGCACGTAGGTGATCCAGCTTGTCCATGTTGTTATCAATTGACAGAAGCAAAGCCCAGCGCAGACAGGGTCACAGGGAGGTACCTTCAGCCAGGGGAGGAACATTGCATCACCATCGTGTACAATCCTTTTGAAGCTCAGTGTGAGGCTAGTGTTCTTTACTGACTGTAGGAAGGAAGAAGGGGCCTGCAATGTAGATTAGAAGAGAAGGTGAAAACAGAAGGGGACACCCCCCCCCCCCGCTACCAATCTGTGTTCTTGTGTTCCCTCTACTTCATTCTCCTTGGTCTACCTTCCCCAGTCCAACCCTAGTCAAAGACAGTGCATTTCCCAGGGAGACTTGCACCAGGCTGGCCCTGGTCTGGGACTTCACCACTGACAGACACCATTCATCTATTACTCCTGTGCCTCCTACATTTCTATATTGATTCTTTCTAGCCCTTATCAATTCTATTTCCTAAAAGCAGTCGATTGCCGAGGTAAAGGCTGTGCAGGGAGCTGGAAAGTCTTCATGCCCTCACCTCCTGACTGCCTCACAAAGAAGTGAGGAGGCCTCAGGATGAAGCAAAGTTGCCTTGGATGGAGGCAGAGATCAGAATCCTGCTTCTCAATCCCCTGCCTCCACTCCAAGTGGGATTTATTCCCAAGATGCCACCTGTCCCTAAACTGAACAGTCAGCATTCATCAGCCAGTGAGCACTTCGCAGCTCTGTCCTGTCCCTGGCCAGGCTGCGCCCCCACCGAAAAACCAAGAGTCGACCACAGCTTTAATTGTAATTAGAAATTAATATCTTCTTTACTACCAATTCAGCCCTACTTAATGGACAATGGAATATAATTCTAGAATCTCTTTTTCCTGGCTTCTTACCTGCTGGAGTTGTGGATCTTAACTGTCTACCAAAGTAGCACATATAATAACACTAAAGGCCTTGGTCCCCAGCCAGGCACTATTAAAAAGGGGAGGAGTCTTTAAGAGGTGGGACTTCCTAGGAGGTCTATAGGTTACTGGGGACAGATGTTGAGAAAACAGTGACCTCTGTCTCTTCCTCTTCCTCTCATCTGCTCCCTGGCCACATTATGAACAGGTTCACTGGACCTCACTCTAAAACCATGGTGGGATTCCACAGAGCCAATGCATCCACCTATTATCTCCAAAATCAGAAGTCAAAACAAACCTTTGTCTTTGTAAGGTGAAATCTAACACGTGATGGTCGTCAAAATTCAGCATCTCTCCTCTAGATGGTAATGAAGCTCATTGCAGTCCAAGCCAGGCCCTGCCTTGACACCCTTCTATTGAGAGCTCCAAATGGCCAGTCATAGAACTTCACTTCCAAGGAGAACTGACACAAATTCTAGCCCGTTCAGAATCTGTTTAGAGAATAAGAATGAACACTCAACAAACTCACAATCACGTAAGATGCTGCCAGCCAATGAATGGCCAATAGATTCAAACGCATTCATGATACAGGACACTAGAAATCATTTAAAGGAATAAGACAATGATGCAAGAGGCTGTCCACTATGTTTATATGCTGTGATGGTGCGAAGACAAGAGGGTCTCACAGCCTCACGTGCTCAATGCCTGGGCCCTACTTGGTGCTGCTACTACGGGAAGTTCTAGAAGCTTCTAGTGGTGGGACCTACCTGGAGGGAGCAAGCACTGGGGTGTGTCTCAGCATTGAAATGGCCCTGGCCCCCTCTAGCGGCTAACACATGGGCCTTGTTTGCATGCTGTGCAGGCAACAAAACCTTGGGGCAAGAACTCACCAGACACTTAAAACCGGGGTCCACCCGTGAAGTCAACAGAGGGAGCATGGGGGGATTATCTTGATTTCGATATTGTTTTACAAGCATGACAGTAAGGAGTTTTGACTTGGTAAATAAATCAAGTAAGGATTCATAAATACATGTATCATCTGAGGGCTTCTTTAGCAATCATTTCTTTGTGACACAGTAAACGTTTCACAATGCAGTGTACTTGCTATGTGGCATACTTACAGAATGCGGTGTATAATAAACTCACCTTTGCATTTTCCCAGAATGCCTTGCTTAATACACATGTTAGTGATTTTACAAATATATTTTAAATACAATTTCCCCAGTTAATGAACATAATGGAATGATGACCATGACTTTCCAATAATTTATCTAATGCTGTAGCTAGGCCTATATTTTACTAAATTTTGCATATATTATATATGCATGCAAATATGCATGTAACCCAATGAGAGAATGACCTGTGTGGTGCTACTATTGCCAAACGTGTCTGCATCGCTGCTGTGGGAACCCCAAATCACCAAGTGTTTCCAAAGGACGCGAGTCATCGTCGAACGGGGAGTGGGGAATTAGATTTGGAACAATGTGCGTACACAGCTTTGAGTGGTTCCTGTGAGTCAAGGCCACTTACCGGATTACACGCATCAGCCGGAAGCCCCTCTCCGATCTGAGAGAGCTTCACCTCAGAGTAAAGCAATGGTTCTGAGGATCTTTTAGGGGTCAGGAAAGAAATTCCAAGCCCTAGCTTGCTGCAAAGGAGTATTCACTTCATATACACACCTCCAAAATCCTGCCCAGAGACTAACAGGCATTAACTGGTACTTAACTAAATATTCGGAATCTTACAGAGGCCGAAGCAGTCACCAGACAGAAGAGCAGAGAAAGGCAAGCGGAGCCTTTGCCCCCACAGCAGTTAATCTGCCTCCCACACCCCAGGTACTTGCAAGGTGGAAAGTCCAGAGGCAGAATTGAACATGCCTAATCTCTTTTATAACAATGTTCTTATTTTAAGCCATGTCATCGGGGGAAATGGCTGAAAACAGTAACAAATACAACATCAATAAACATAATAATAATTGATTTTTCCAGAGATGAAAGATTTGAAATTAGTGACCATTTCCCCCCCAGAGCATCGGTTGATTAATTTAATGTCTGTCTTGGTCTTTCAAAGACATCCTCTCCCGGAGCATCTGCTCTGCCCGCCGCTGTGATGGGTTTTGTGGTTTTGGACCCCGTGGTTAAAGCATATTGCACAGTTGTGCAGTTTTAAAGCGATTCTTGCTAGTGTGAGGGGGGCTGCTGCCAACAGCAAGACTTAGGGTTCCCGAGACTGGAATCTGTGTGGTCCAGAGAATGTAAACTCACTCGGTGACTGTGTGTTCAGTGTGTCTCTAGCCTCCAGATCTAAGAAACGGATTTGAAGAACTACTACCTACCTACGAGTGCTGGAGAGCTGACTCTTCAGTCAAGAGTGCTGGCTGCTCCTCCTAAGGACCTAGGTTCGATTCCCAACATCCATATTGGTAGCTCACAACCATCTGTAACTCAAGTTCCGGGATATCTGAAGCCATCTTTTGACTTCCACAAGCACAGGAAGGCATGTTGCACACACACACACACAAACACACACACACACACACACATACACACACACATACACAAACACACACACACACACATACACAAACACATATACACACACAGAATAAAGATAAGTGTCATTAAAAAAAAAAACAAATACTACCTTGTGGTTTTCTAGAGTACCCAAAATTCACCAAATTAATTAAAAATCACAGAGTAGAAGTGGACTTTTCCTGAACTAACCCAGAACTCTCAGCAGGGAACAGGATGATGTTTAAGATGATGTTGAAGTGGTCTTGACTGTTTCTCCCCACTTCCTGTCTCCTTCCTTTATATATATATATATATTCAAGTATTTATTAGACATTTGTACATTTGTATTATTTTTCATAATATTTTATTATTTGGGAATTTCACATCACGAACCCCAAGCACACTCACTTCCCAGTCCCCCCCAGGTTCTCTCTTCCCACCCTTGGGACCCCCCCATTATAGGAAAAGGAGAAAAAAGAAGGAGAAAACAAGTCCGGTTTGTGTTGCCCATGTACTCACTGAGCACGGTCAACCTCCTGGAGCAGCCCCTTAAAGAAAACTGAGTCCTTCCCCCCAACCCCCAACATAAGCCCTCAGTTGTGGAGAGCTACACTTCATGATCCCTATCACAATTTTTAAGAGTTCTCTTCAATGGCTTTGGTGTCGGCTGTTACTTGGGGCGGGTGACAGTAGGGTTGTCACAGAAGCCTTCTCAACTGTGAGTCGCCGCAGTCATCAGTTCCACTGCCAAAGTGGCTTCCTTGCCCTTTACAGTCAGCGGGAGCATGGATCATGGACTTGCACGTGGTTTTTGGCCCTGCCACCTGAAGCCATGGTGATTTCTAGTTCCGTGATGCTGCCAAGGGCCATGTCTGGGTCCATGGTCCTACTGCAGCTGGGGTCCATGTTGGTGTCTCCTTCCTTTTAAAATACCAAAATAATAATAATAATAATAATTTTTTAAAGTCACCTGTAAACCATCACACAGTTTGCTGATCATATTTACCCTGAGCATACAATCACCATCTCCTGTTCTAAACATGAGTAGACCGAGGTACACTGGGGAGGGTGACTTCCCAAGACCCTGTAGCCACTGAGTAAATTCAGGGGCATGGATGGAGCACCCTCCTCACACACAGCAGAATTCCAGACTCTTCCTCCTTCCACAGTTAGCCTTCCCTAGACCAACCAAGAAGATCTGCACTCAACTCCATCAGCAACATCTCCATCTAAGGTTCCCATCACCCAAAACAACTCTTGCATAGAAGAAGCCTGTGACTTTAACACTCTAAACGTGTGACCCTAAACTGCAGATACACCTTAGGGACCCGGATTCCTTGAGTCTCTTTATATCATCAGCTGCAGAGAGGAGCCTAAGCCGTGTGCTTTGCAAACGGCTTCCTATGCCCCCCCCCCCCAGCACCAGCTGTCTAACCTTAACCTTGACAGTGACTGGCCCTTCCTATTCACTGTGACCTTACTTTTCTTAGGACATGGTATTTAGAAGAGTTTGTCTTGCCTTGTACTTATTACCCTTGTATACTATAAGTCCACTAGAGGATAGTGGTTTCTACCTCTCTCAAATGTGTGGCCTTTCACCTCATTCCTATCTAGTCCAACCTAGGGTCCCCACAATTATCTACTAGAATCGCCTAGGGTCCTTCTTATGAAGATGTGTTCAGCCTTGAGCTGAAGTATTCACCCTCACAGGAAAGGAGGCAACAGGAGATGCCCAGGGACCTTTACGAATGGAAACAAACTCCTCAACATTTTACAGAGAATAACTTTCCCTAAGCACAGGTCACAGTGAAATTCAGCACTCAGTTGTCACAGGCCAAGCTCCATAGGCCAGGTCAACATCAGACATCAATGGAAGATGCCAGAAATAAAGACAAAACCTTTCTTCTAAGGAAGTAACACATCACTTGTAAACACTTAAGAGTGATTTTTCTTTCTTTCTTTCTTTTTTTTGGCACTAAGACTCAAACCCAGGGCCTTCCTGTGCTAAGCAAGCATTCCCCCACGGAGCCATGCTGCTGCCCAAGAGTGCATTTTGAAAGGTTTTTTTGTTCCCATTAACTACAGCTTCCTACAAAACATCAGGACAAAATGGGAGGAAATCCCTGCCTTATACCTTCCGCCTTCCAGAGCTGCTGAGGCAGAATCATCCCCAGGAGGGCTGGGGACACAGCCAGAGTCACTGAGTCATGCTCTCCAGGCACAGACCCCATTTATAACCTCTTCCTTAACTTTATTTATCTCTGCAGAAACACACAGATGCATCGCGCTTTCCAGAAGTTGGGGCCCTGTGATCATGACTTGTCATTGGAGGAAATGAGATTAGGGGAGCTTAATTCCTCTTCTCAGAAAGTCCACACTGTAATAAATGGCTCCTCAATGACCTTCATCCCCGGGTGGGGCTGCTGGGTTTCACTATCCCCTCGGGCCCTGGCATCACAGGAACAATTAACGAAAGTGGTAGCCTAGACACTTAACCTCCACCCCAGACAGAAAGGGGACCAGAGAGGCTCACCTTCTCAGTCAGCCTTTACAACACAGGAGCACACCTGTCAGGACATGGCAGAAATTCCAGAACCCTCAGCTTGTACTTTGCTGGATGTACCCCAGGAGTACGCACCAAGTGGATTACACTCCTCACATTTCTTCACGGCTCTGGAGGCCAGAAGTACACCCGATTATTTCTGGGCTGTGAGGGAGGGATCAGCTACGGACCTCTCGGGATCCTCTCATGCTCTCTCTCAGGATCTTTCAATCATCTTTAGAATATTTTCTTTAATTTGTATTAGTTCTTAGAGAATCTCATAGGATGTGTTTTGATCATATTCACCCCCCTCTCCCAAGTCCTCCAGGATCCACCCCTTATTCTCTCCCGTTCCCAGTCAGTCCCAGACCCACAAGAGTAGAGGACTTGTCAGAAACCATGGCTGACAGTGGCAATACCAGGGACAACCTGGGGG